TTTGAATATTACATGTTAATAACTTGATTGGAATTATAACCTTGAGTTGACAGTTTGATACTTTGAAAATTTTGAGCCAGCCCTACCCCCAAGGGCTGTAGGGTGGGGCTCAAGGGAGTCAGTGTGCTAAAATTTCTTCATTTTCCTTGTTTAGAATCAGAGGTGCTAGTTTCAAATCCTTTTTAGTCTGAAATCTGTATGCTTGATATTGAATAAGGTGGTTTTATTGTTTTTGTCACTTTGAATAATATTTCTGTTCATGTTAAAAACGAAATCAACTCTCTGTATAAATATATCAGGTGACCGTTAAGGCCCATGGGCCTCTTGTTTTATGTAGGTTCCCCTTGTTCCCTCGTTGTGCAGCAGTGCCTGAAATGGACGGTTGCCTGCTCGCCAATGGCGGTTTAAGTCTTGCTCGAGCGACCAAAAGTTGTCAAAAGTGAGGTAGTCACTGGCCCAACAAAAATAGTTTGGGCGACTGTCAAAAAATTATTGAATAAAAGAAATGTATAGTCCCTTCCTCATTAACTGAGGGGCATTACATTTTTCAGTTGTCATTAATTCGATTTGAATCAAACTGTACGTGATAAGAAAATGTGATGATTTTTTTTTCAGATTTTCTATATAAATACTGCCATGGTGTCTTCTTTGAGGTGCAATTTTTGTGTATTTATTTTTGGGAATACCTGAATGAATTAAAAATATAATGTTTTATTTTGTTTTACATATTACAAATATTGTCATGTTATATGTAATTTAAATGTGCTGAAGCATTGTGTTAAATGCTGTGGAAATATTTCTTCCCAAAATTATTTGGGCCACCAGTATGTCATTTGGGCCAGTGCTTCAAATTTTTTATTCGCCCAAAATATTTATTTGGGCCAGCCAATGCAGGTTCCCCACTATCCTTTATTGTTCATGTTTACTTTTGAAACTGATCAGTTAAACAAAATGGCCTACCAACAGTCATCTTTGATTTTTGACATTGAAGGTTTGTTAGTACTATTTCTCAGGAATAACTTGAGGGATCTTTCTCAAATTTGATATGTAGGTTCCCCTTGATCCCTCGTTGTGCATGTTATATTTTGGGACTGATCATAAAAACAAAATGGCTAAAGGTTGCAATGATCGATTCTATTTCTTTCACATTAAGTACTGTACTAGTAAATATGTGAAATGACAAACTCACTTTGAAGGTTGGCTTTCATACACATAAGTATTAAGTTAAGATCAAAAGTTACCTCAAGGTGCATTTACTGTTAACATGACTCGATCAAACAGATTAGAGGAAGAAGAGAAAAGATCAAACTGACAAAGAACTAATGAAGATGGTACAATGGTGGGCGCCAAGTTCCCTCTGGGATCTCTTGTTCATTATCTCCATAACAGGCATTTATATAGCGCCACATAAAATACGCAGCTTGCTGGTCTGTTATTCACAGGCACTAGAGATATTAGGTGAATCAATGTGTTTCTGTACACTTACTTATCTGGAAACACAGGCTCTAAAACTTTGTTCTATGATCAATATCTCATCAAAACAAGAAAGATCTTTGTAATTCCATGCCATGCCATGAACCCTTAATCAAAGATTCTTTTTATTTGATTATGTTACATTTTTACAATTACTGAAATATGGTCACATTTTTCTTATTACATATATAGTTATAAACAAAAAAAAAATCTGTTGAGAGAATTACCATCATTTGTTACAGACATTATGGATCCTCATACCTCCACCAAAACCTTTACTATAGACATTTTTTTATTTGGTGTAACAATATATATTTCTTTCTTAAATAATTTTTGAAAAGAAAACCATACTTTGAAGAACTTCTATGAAAATAAGCTTAGAATGATATAAAAAAAAAAACCAATCACGAAAGTATTCCTATGAGTAAAAATGGTTGTATCAAAGTCCAGTTGTGCTAGTAATATCCAAGGGGAGATTACTGTGTGAAAATCTACAGTGGATTTGCCTACAGTGGGACAGAGATCCTTCAGCTGTCAAAGTTATTTAGTTCGTGAGTCATATTTTTGTTTTCAAATAAATACCTACTACATGTATAACTTTTTAGTGATAATCTCACTAGACGTGTGGTAGCTTTGTCAATAAAATTGTCCTTGAAGTTAACCATTTAGATAATGTCCAGTGAAAATCTCTGCAGGTTACAAAAGGAGTTGGGTGTTGTTTGTTTAAAATACTTTGTATGTTTTGTTTGTGTTTTTCAGGTCGGACAAGGGAATGGTTCACTATAGCGGATGCCCATGCAAAGCTCTCACACAAACCCATTCAACTCCACTACCTTAGAGAACTGCTCGAGAAACCCCTGGACATGGTCACATGACCACCAGCCAGCCAATAGAATTCTAGTGTTTGTGCTGCTATATACCATAAGTTAACTCTATATTTAGTTGTAGGGTTTATCCCACATGTCTCAACCTCCGATTCATGTATCACCCCAGTGAGTTCCTCCAGCCAGTGGAGTGGTGATGAGGGCTGAAGAATAAGAGTTATCTGACCTTTGTGGTGTCGCTATGGTGATTTTGACTTCATTGATGTTGGAGTTTTCCAGAGTCGGGTGTTAGATACCTACATATTATTAATGTTGGTCTCATAGAAAATTCAAGCGGGACCACTTGTTTGTCTTTTGATTTAATTTTGTGCATTGAAATAATTTGAATATTTTATTACCTCTTAACAATTTTTATCAAGGTAAACATTATAGCAGTATTAATTGATGAGAGGCTCAGCTGTACACCTGTAGGTATTAGATCGCTGCTGTGTTAATGATGTGTCTTTCAGTTCGCTTTGTGTTTTGTTTGTTGAATTAAATTTAGAAAAGGGGGGGGGGGGGGGGCCAATAGATACTGCTCTCACTCCTTCTTCTCATGTAAATTTACAAAATACAGGATATACAGATATATGTATTTAAGTGCTAATTGTTTAATAGGAGGTGTCAAGTGCACCAATCAGGTATTATTTCAGGGTTTATTGTTGGTAAATCAATACAGGTCGACCAAATCAAATGTTGTCATTACGTACCTTCACCAACATACTTAAACAAAACTTCTTTAATTTTTTTTATGGCTTTGAATTTTGAAAAATTTGAAGGTTTTATAGCTTTAAGATGTTAAATCCTAGTCGTGGTTACACACTATGTTGTTAATATTACACTCTGTTGTGAATTCTTACAACATTTTTATATCATGCCTCTTATATAATACATTGATAGATGTAGTGCTATTATCTATAGAGCACCTGTGATTTTAGTTTACTTCAAAAAGACTGAATAACAAACCCATCACACTACATATAGAGAGACTGTTTGACTGTGATGTAAATTGTCGGTTCTTACTAAACATCTTTGCTGTAGTATGTAAGAAAGTTTGCCGGGTTCTAATATCATTATAAAATCAAAGCAATTTTAACCCTTTCACCACTGTAGACCATAATGGACTCATCCAGATCAATGCATGGTAGAGTTTACTTAAGTTACACAGGGGTGAAAGGGTTAATAAAGCCATTACCGTAGTAATGATATTTTTCTAAACTAGCTCAATGATTGCTACAGACTGTTATGTAAAACATCAGAATTTCACAGGTTTTAGATTGTATAAAAAAATGATTCTCATTTGCTAAAACTTTACTACTCTTGCGATTTGCGAACAGCTCAAATATTATTTTTCAATATTTAAATGAAAGGTATTCATCAAACTGAGACATGTAAAACAAAAGACATGTGTACTGGTTTGAAGTTCCAATTATAAAATTGTGAAAATTACATTACAGAAAATTAGGAAATCTACAGAACTGTAGTTGGTACTGCTTTGGTTCCCTACCCACTGTATGATAATCATGTTGGTTTGGTATCCATTTAGAAGCTTTATTTTGTAAAACATGTTGATAGATTAGACACCTAAAACCAGGAAGGCTGTTTCAACTTGGATGAATACTGGTGTAATAAACACTTTTATTTAGCATCCTTTCTTCATTAATTCAGAAAATTTGTAATGACAGTCTAGTCTATATCGATATAAAAATGATTAACTGGGACATTTTAGATAAAAAATAGGTTTTTGGAAATTTTCCTGATTGAAGAGTACCATCATGCAAGTGTTGGTCATTTTGAGTAAGGAAAATTATACTTGTGGTCTAAGTTTCAACCTTTCAAAATAGTATATCAACCGGTTAAAACTTGTCGAGACCATAGCCTAAGACACACTAAGCAACCTGGGATTATATTTTCTTATAAAAATCTATATTTAACAGCATATAAAATGTTTCCTGTAATCACTGTTTCATGTGGCATTATTTTGAAAATCTATTTTGTTTATCTGGATCAGTTGATCTTGTGGATCTGAGTGTGTATTTATTGATACAAACACATTAGTTCTTCAACCCTGAAGACACATTTGAACTCTTCCAATTAAGATGTTAGAATAGTTCATTATGAAATTTCAGGGGTGAATGAGTTAAGACATGTATGTATTTATAATATGTTTTAACCCTTTCACCCCTATGTATCTTTAGTAGACTCTTCCATGCATTGATCTGGATGAGTCCATTATGGTCTACAGTGGTGAAAGGGTTGATAAACAAATTTGACTGTTTCTCTCTAAAGAGATTCAGAGGATGTCCTTAGAAATTAAAGTTTCATTTGAATGATACAATGTATATTAGATTTTTAAATCTTGTTCATTTTTCCTACCTTCATTGTTTTAGGTCAAACCGATTGTGGTTAAAGAATTTTTCAATTAACTGTTAATGACTAAATAAGCAGAGATATATTCAATATTTGACATAGTTGTAAGCCAAATGTTTAAAACTGCTTCAGTAAAATTTATTTTGACACAATCATGCAATCATCACTTGGATTCAAGTTCTTGTTGTGTTTATGTTTAGATCTGAAAGCCAAAAAATATACCAAAATGAAAAAACATGTCTTGGTACATGTAATGGATAACAAGCAAGGCTCTGGCTTGGGGAGGATTTCTGTGAACTGCATCGGAAAGATTTGTTTATTGAAATCGTATGAAATGCCATAAATCAAATAGAATTGTTTCAGTTTTGTTTGTGTGTCGAGTATTATTTTGTAGTATTTTGTTTTAGGATTAAGCATTTCCCTGTGTATTGTTACATACGTGTTGTGATCTGTCAGGACCAGTGATAGAAACATACATTGTATGGTATACTGGCTATCTGATAACATTGATACCTAAAACTCTCAAGTAGATGGAATGACATCATTTTATAGTCAAGTTTAATGAATGTGTGTTTTTATCCCATAACTAGTGTAGGTTCCATTACGCTCGGCCCATGAATTGTTGATTTTGATGATTTCACAAATAAAGTCGTGTGGTGTGGTGTCATGCTTTTGAATGCTTTTGAATGCGTATGTCACACTTGCATTTTGACATCACATGGTGTGTCAGATGTTATTGCTTACGAAGAAGTCCGATCCTACATTTGGTACAGAGCAAACTCATTATTCTTTGATATATTTTTGTTACGAGATAAACCAGATATCCAACTCTTGTGAATGATCAGGTTTTGTATCCGATCTGGCAAGTTTATTCCTAAAAACATAATGTATTCAGTGACGGTTATACTTGATAATAAACTCCCACTACTGGATGTAAACCCTAGTCATCACTTATTGGATATCCTCTGTATGATTCATATGATATTATTTTTAGTAGTTTATATAATGTATTACTGCATTATGTGTTTTGTTTTGCATCATTACCAAAAATAGTGATTTTTGTATCTTATGACATTCCTTGATAAACCCCAGAACGTTATACCCTAGTTTTTATTAGCTCACCTGCCCGAAGGGCATGTTAGCTTATGTTATGGTGCGAGTCCGTAGTCCGTCTGTCCGTCCGGCGTCCGTCCGGCGTCAACTTTTTGCTTTAAACAACTTCTTCTCAATAACCAAAAGGCCCAGGGTACTGATATTGGGCCTGTAGCATACTGGGATGAAGGGCTACCAAGTTTGTTCAATGAATGACCTTGACCCACTTTCAAGGTCACTGGGGTCAGATGTCTTCAAAATCCTCAAACAACTTTTTCTCAATAACCAAAAGGCCCAGGGCACTGATATTGGGCCTGTAGTATGCTGGGATGAAGGACTATCAAGCTTGTTCAACTGAATGACCTCGACCAACTTTCAAGGTCACAGGGGTCAAAGGTTGTAAAATCTTCAAGCGACTTCTTCTCACTAACCAAACAGCCCAGGGTACTGATATTGGGCCTTTAGCATGCTGGGATGAAGGACTATCAAGCTTGTTCAACTGAATGACCTCGACCAACTTTCAAGGTCACAGGGGTCAAAGGTTGTAAAATCTTCAAGCGACTTCTTCTCAATAACCAAATGGCCCAGGGTACTGATATTGGGCCTGTAGTATGCTGGGATGAAGGACTATCAAGCTTGTTCAACTGAATGACCTCGACCAACTTTCAAGGCCACAGGGGTCAAATGTTGTAAAATCTTCAAGCGACTTCTTCTCAATAACCAAATGGCCCAGGGTACCGATATTGGGCCTGTAGCATACTGGGATGAAGGGCTACCAAGTTTGTTCAATGAATGACCTTGACCCACTTTCAAGGTCACTGGGGTCAGATGTCTTCAAAATCCTCAAACAACTTTTTCTCAATAACCAAAAGGCCCAGGGCACTGATATTGGGCCTGTAGTATGCTGGGATGAAGGGCTACCAAGTTTGTTCAACGAATGACCTTGACCCACTTTCAAGGTCCCTGGTGTCAGATGTCTTTAAAATCTTCAAATAACTTCTTCCCAATAACCAAATGGCACAGGGTACTGATATTGGGCCTGTAGCATACTGGGATGAAGGGCTACCAAGTTTGTTCAACGAATGACCTTGACCCACTTTCAAGGTCACAGGGGTTAAATATGTTAAAATCTTCAAACAACTTCTTCTCAATAACCAAAAGGACTAGGAAGATGATATTTGGCCAGTAGCATGCTGGGATCAAGGGCTACCAAGTTTGTTCGAATAAATGACCTTGACCCACTTTCAAGGTCACTGGGGTCAGATGTCTTCAAAATCCTCAAACAACTTTTTCTCAATAACCAAAAGGCCCAGGGCACTGATATTGGGCCTGTAGTATGCTGGGATGAAGGGCTACCAAGTTTGTTCAAATGTATGACCTTGACTCACTTTCAAGGTCACAGGGGTCTAATGTCGTAAAATCTTCAAATGACTTCTTCTCAATAACCAAAAGTCCCAGGGTACTGATATTGGGCCTGTAGCATGCTGGGATGAAGGACTATCAAGCTTGTTCAACTGAATGACCTCGACCAACTTTCAAGGTCACAGGGGTCAAATGTTGTAAAATCTTCAAGCGACTTCGTCTCAATAACCAAACAGCCCAGGGTACTGATATTGGGCCTTTAGCATGCTGGGATGAAGGACTATCAAGTTTATTCAAATGAATGACCTTGACCAACTTTCGAGGTCACAGGGGCCAAATGTTGTAAAATCTTCAAGCGACTTCGTCTCAATAACCAAACAGCCCAGGGTACTGATATTGGGCCTTTAGCATGCTGGGATGAAGGACTATCAAGTTTGTTCAACTGAATGACCTTGACCAACTTTCAAGGTCACAGGGGTCAAAGGTTGTAAAATCTTCAAGCGACTTCTTCTCACTAACCAAACAGCCCAGGGTACTGATATTGGTCCTGTAGCATGCTGGGATGAAGGACTATCATGTTAGTTCAAATGAATGACCTTGATCCACTTTCAACCTAATGTCCTTGTTCAACAATCAAGGACAGAGGCGTCATATGTTTAAATCTTTTAATAGGTTCTTATGAAATCTTAAGATTACAAGTT